TAACAGGTTTGGCTTGCTCCAGGGCCCCCCTACGGCCCCCTTCTCCGCCCATTATTGCCCACGTTAAGAACCACTGTACCAGACCACCAATGGTAATTCAATGCTACTCTAGCCATTGGCTAGAGAATCAGAACTTATCCCTTTGAGGGTAGTTCTCTCCTATTCCATCATACTTTCTTTAGGAATTATGTCCGGGTGACAGATAGTTATTTGGGAACATGAGTCCCTTAGACCTGGATACTTTTTACTGTTGATAAAAATCATTGCTCCAGAGCTTTCCAGTAAGTCTTGATCACACTTGATTAAATAGCATTGTATCACTCTGCCCTCCGGAAGCTCTGGGCTCTCTGCCAAGTCCGTTCCCTTTGCAGAAGTGCAGCCGTTACAGGCTTCAGCTGTCGATGGCTGAAGGCAAAATACTTTTTAGGCTGACTGAAATTTCTATTTTTATGAGTTTCACATTGGGAACAAAAATGTCTGCAGGCATAACACTGCATATTTCTCCTATGTTCAGAGCAAAGGGATTTAGTAGTTTTTCCCTCAGGATTATTCGATCTTAGTACACTTTGCTGTGAGAATGAAGGTCTTGCTTTTAAAGGGTTTTCCTTAGCTTGAGTATGATTTATGTAATTTTTACTGGATTGGGATGCTCTCTTACTAATGTCCCAAACTTTTCTATCAATTTTTATCTCAGAGAATCGAGGATCTTTGATCCCACTAATAAAATCAGCATATTCAAATGCCTGTTGCACATTTTTAGGATCCTTGTCTTTGACAAGATAACGCAATTCCCCTGATATAATTAAATAAAATTGTTCTAATCCAAACACATTTCTCATTTGGTTTAAGGAGGTGACATGTTCTTGTTCTAGCCTACTGTTAAATGTGTCCCAAGTGGAGCAAAAGACTCCTGAGGATTGTTTGAAATTGATCAAAATGTTCTCCTGAGATGCTCAGAATTAATTCCAAATTGGGAATACACCATCTTTTGGTAAGCCTCAAAAGCTCTTATCTTGTTCAAGAGTCATCTGTGAATAGATCTCAGATGAAACTCCCCCTATCTGTGACCTTAAAATTATCATCCTCCCATCATCTTTAACCTCAAAGTCCCCAGAAACTCTCTAAAAGGAAATCAGGAAAGATTCAGGACAATCTCCATTCCGATATTGGGGAAATTTCTTTAGATTGATATTTGAGGGATTTCTCACACTGGAATTGTTGTTGTTATTGGCAGCTATTTCCAATTTCTTCATCTCAGTTTGGAACTGCATTTCTCCTTGCCTTTCAAGTTCTCTGATTTTTTTTCTTTTTCCAATTATAATTGGTTTTTCATAGCTAACTCCTTCAGTTTAAATTCCTGTTCCACTTTTTAAAATCTTGGGAGCTTTGGATATTTTCTCCTTCTGAGGCAATTATTACTGGTCTCTCAGTTTCTTCATCACTTTGAATTTGAGGGTTCCCACTTCCCTCAGCACCCGGGGCTCACCCTGTGCCTCCATAACCAACTTTTTGATTTTAAAAAAAAAAGCCCAATCCAAGCCATTACCCACCTTTGCACAGGCAGTGGAGCTGGGCGATCACTTTGATCTCTTTCCCCCTCTTCTTCTTTTTTCTTTTCCTTTCCCCCTCTTTCTATGTCCAACACCGGCATAAGACGAGGTGGAAATCCTGATTCAAGTCAGTCCCAGGGGTGGGTTTCCCTTCTGGCAGGCTTTAGCAAGCCACTGGAAGGGAAAATCTCTCTCTGCTTATGTCTCCAAGGAACAGCTGATCTGCGAGGGCATAAACAGATAAGGGAACGAAGGGATGAATATAAAAGGGTTATATTCATTGCTTTGTATTCATTGGGGTCTCTGGACTCCAAGAATACAAAGCAACAAATATCTGATGAATCAGGGATATTAATTGAATATCCTGATTCAGTTTTATATTCGTCCCCATGTCTAGTAACCAGTATAGGTGTTAGATAACTGTTGAATGAAAATCTTTGGTGATTCTCTCAAGTGTCTAGTTTTGTTTATTGCACATTGAAAATGCTATGAAAATACAACAAAGTAAAGCTTTTTAGCACTTTCCCCCAGTTGCCTTGAACTACAACCCTTTCCATTCAATCCAATTGGGATAAAATTTGTCGACCAACATGTTGAGAAGGTGCCAATTGGCTAGCATTTCATAGAAGGAATTTCTTCTGCCTATCATGTGCCTGATTGAACCTTCTTAATTAGTTGCAGTTGCAGTTAGCCATAGCAACTTACATGACTCCTTTTGTCAAATCCCAACAGGATTTTTGGCCCATCTCTTTTGAACACACGCCAAAGCAGGTGGGGTGTTTAGTGAATTTAAAGACAAGCCACTGCCACCACCTTATCTTCCTTTCTGTCCCTATGTGTAGCGCAGCTTCTTTCAGAAGACGATGGCCCAAAATCCTATTGGGATTTTACATATAAGCAGAATCATGCAACTAAGATATGAGTATGATTAAGTATGTGTTCAGCATCTTGTGCTTGCAGGAAGGAAGAATCTGAGGGGGTCTGCTCTGATGTCCACATCTGTCCATTGCCCAGCACTTTGTTTCCAATGCACTTTTTCATGCCTTCCTCCATTCCACCTAGTCAGAATATGTGGTAGGGAAGAGGAATGAACTAACTGCTTCTGTGCCACTGTCCCTGCTCAAAAATCAGTGCAGTAGAACCCCATATCCACTGTTTCAGTTACTATGGTTTAATTTGACCATGGCTGACTGCTGTCTGAAATGAAGGGCAGCCCCTTCATTGTCTCTCATCTGCTTCTTCAGGCCAGGGATCAATGATTCATTCTCCCAGTGGATGGGTGTTTTTGTGCTTGGAACATCTTCCCTGCAGATATGGCAGGGGGTGGTGGAGGTGGCATTCCTACTGTATGTGCTGCATGTGGCAACTACAGCCTATTTCAGAATGGGAGTGAATGTAGGCAGAAGGGAATCTTTGGCAGTTTACTGTGATAACTGGAGCAGCAGTGCGGGTCACGTTGCCTTGCTCAGGGTTGACAAAGAGAAGAGAGAGCTTTCATGTTTCTGTGGATTTCTTACTCCCAGGATGAGGAAAGTGAAACAAGATGGGGAGAATGTGTTTGGGTTTGTCCCTCCCTTCCATTTCCTGAGCTCCAAAGTGAATTAGTCTCTTTTAAAAAATATTTATTTTATTATTTCTGACCTGTGTTAGCAGCTAAACTTGTCTTTTCACTTTGTCACAATTCCATTCTGTGAAACCCTATAGTACTTAAGATCAAGTGTTTTGGCATACTGGAAGGGGGAAAAGGAAGACTGTTTTAAAAGAGGAGTATTTTACAAAGGGGAGTAAAAGACTGGAGGCCAGAATCAGCACATAATCCATCCCAGGGCTGGAAGAGAGGGAGTATTTGTGTGTTTACATTTCTTTCAGGGTTGATTTGATTTAAATCATGATTTAAATTAATTTGAATCATGATTTAAATTGATTTAAATCATGAAATGAAAATTTTTAATTATGATTTTAATCAGTTTGATTTTAGAAAATTGATTATTTTTATCAACCCTGATTTCTTTGTTGTCTCTCTCCCCACTGCTCCATTTCTCTCTCCTTCATTCCCTCTTCCTTACAAGGCACCCCTATTTAAAAAGGCAGTATAACATACTAATGCAAACTGAACTACCCATGTTAATTTTGTTTTTCCCCTCACCACTCAGGCCAGGTGTATCCCACACACAAACACTACTAATGAATTACAGTGGGGTCTCGACTTACGAACGGCTCGACATACGAACGTTTCGACTTACGAACCGCTCTCATAGGAATATATGGACTCGACTTACGAACTTAGATTCGAGTTACAAACTCTTTTTTTCCCTTTTTTAAAAGCTAAGTCATCTTAGGTTAAAAGGAAAAAAGAAAAAAATATCCCCCTCTAGTGGCAGAAGGCGGAATAGCAGCTTCCCATTAGTTTCTATGGACGAAAAGAGCAGATACAGATTAAATGGTTTTCAATGCATTCCTATGGGAAATGCAGATTCAACTTAAGAACTTTTCGACCTGAGAACTGCCTTCCAATACGGATTAAGTTCGTAAGTCGAGACCCCACTGTATCATTGAAGAGTAGTAAATTATTACAGCCATGACCTTGGGGTGTCATTTCCAGCTTCTTATTTCAGAATGTACATTGTTTCAGAAAGGTCGAAATATATTACTTCCTAGCGGTGATAGTGATTGCCTATACAGGTACTAGTACCTGGCATTCTGGGTCAATGTCAGTGGTATCCCATGGAAGCTTGCTCTGTGTCAGTTAGAAATTCTAACACAAAAAAGAGGGCCTGCAGGGCAGATTTTCTTTTTTGTGTAAACAGTAGCCAAGTGTGAATCAACTCACAGGACAATTTCTGTAGCCATACAGTCAGATTCAAGTGGTTTGTAAAGTATGGTACAACTGATGTAGTGTGTGGCATATTTTGTGGTCTCAGGCAGTCTGTCTTTCATGCAATGAAAACCACTTCCCTTCAACTTAAGAAGTTCTCCAGTATATATTAACTAAGTGCATCCAAAGTTATTTCCACCACTCTGTGTTTGCTGTATACCATACTGAACTTAAAGCATCCTTCGTTTTATTAGTCTAGTTTCTTATGCCTAGTTATAAAACCTGCTAGATCATCATCATCTTAGAACTGCATTGCTGGAAGGGACCCTTGCCAAAGCGGCATAGTGCAGAATCAAACTCTTACTCTCTGACTTCGAAGCCAGATACCCACACCATCCAGCATCACTTTCTTAAACACCCTATCTGGATTTGGCCTTGAAAAATGAATGCATGGTATATGGATGATAACTTTAAATTTTGTTCCTTAGTCTTTTATAGAAAATAGATAACATCTTGCCTGACAGAAATGTAGAACTTTTCCAATGTATTTGTTTTTTCTCTTGGCAAATGTTTTCTTCATTTCTGTTCTTTGTTTTAGTAATGCCTGATAACTAATCTGTTTAATTTTATCCAAGATGTGCTGTGGAGAAGGATCAAAAAGCACGTATTGCTCGTTGCTCAAAAGAAGTCTGTGCTGAAATAATGGGTGTATTTCTAGATGATGAGATTTTCCAGAGTGCCAAGGAGACTTTAGAGGAACTTCAGTGCTTCTGTAAATTCTTACAACGGTTGGTTAAATTAAGCTTTTCCATACCCTTTATCTCAGAATGATGTTATGGTCTGTGCATAACAGAATTTTAGGAGAAATGCAGTATATAAATAACGTAAACAAAAAAATGAATATTGGCTTAGATTATTAAATGCCCCCTTTTAATGCTTTCTACCCTTCCTCCTCAAGTGTAAATAGACTGGGTGGGGAAAGAGGTGTAATATTATTTGTGCTGAGATTTGGAGAAGATACAAAATGCTAAGATGGTTGTATGTTTTTAAATAAGCTCCAAACACAGCATGGCATGACTACAACTGATAATAAATTCAGTATTGTAAATTCTAATGAAAAGTTTCAGCAGTGAGGAGCTAACATATACTATGCTTTAGTCATAACTTTTAATGGAACATTGTTTTCTCCTGAAGGTGGAAGGAAGCTGTTGCAGCCCGAAAGAAACTGAAGCGTCAGATGAGAGCATTCCCAGCTGCCCCATGTTGTGTTGATCCCAAAAATAAATTGAAAGCTCTGTCACCTAGTGCAGAATGTCCTATTGCCAGAGAACACCTAGAAAAAAGAATTGTAAACTTGGGACATGCAGGGAACCTTGGTACTTCCTGCCTTAGGTAAGTAAATAATTAAGCGTCTGCTTAATAAGTTACAAAAATAAGTTACTGTACAGTATCATGAGAGTTGATCTGAATACCAAGAATAACCAATGGCTGAGTTATATCTTAGTCTATACAGCATGGATTCCCTGAACAAAGGGATGATTAGCTTCCTCAAAACAGCATACACAATGTAAATAATGACTGTTTACAGGAACTCTATGGTACTGTGCTTCTGGAATTTGGATTACTATATTGTACATTTTTATATTTAATTTTTTTTTCTTGAATGGTGAGAGGAGCTTTTTTCCTTTCAGAATTCCTTCTCCTCCTTCTACCAAGCTAGTATGAATTCTGCTATAGATTCTCTTTGCACCTTTGCTCCAGGCTTTCTGAAAACCTGGCCTGGACCCCAGGACCAAATTTAAACAGCTTCTGGTGATCTGAGTTCCTTGACTGCAGGTGACCATGCTTAAATGAATCAGTGAATACTGATCCCGCAGATATGGAGGTTCTACTGTATTTACAGTTTCATCTATTTGCTTTTTAAAATAATATTTGAAGAGGTTCCACAACTACGTAGGCTGTATAACTGGTGCATTTAGATTAGATTGAAGTAGTGTGTACCCTTTGATTTGCAGATACATCCAGTTGTTGATTTATTGTGGTCTTTGAAATGAAGTAGGTCACAATGTGCAATAAATAAGAATTCTGTGATAGCTTCCCAGTTGAACCAGTTTTCTCTTAGGCATGGAGGAGACCATCAAACTAGTGCCACCCCAGATTGGCAGAGATCAAGTGACAGAAAACTTTTGGTGTATATTCTATGTAATAGGACTCCTTTGTTTGTTGTTTAGTTGTTACGTCATGTCCGACTCTTCATGACCCCATAGACCAGAGCACGCCAGGCCCTCCTGTCAAGGACTCCTTAGCTGCTTATAATGTTTCTTATCCATGATTTTAACTTCTCTTTCTGGAGTCCTCTGTCATACTTTATCCTGTGACCTTCACGCAGTTTTCTAGTTGCTCAGCAGGTCTCCCTTTGGAACTTGTAGGTCTGTAACTGCACTTCCTAAATATGGCTTGCATGGTGGTAGAGTCATCAGTATGCTCTAGGAGCAATCCCTTTGAGAAAAGACAGTTGCCTCATATATTCAGGGTTAACTCTCCCCCACATTTTTGTTCTGTTGTGGTGGTGGTGGTGCACAAGTTTCCCTAAGGAGCTCTTAGCACTCGGTCAGAGAGTTCCACAGGCCACTTACCTACCACCTTTGTGCTGAAGCAAGTCCCAAGACCTCAGCAGTGTGTAGCGTAAGCCCCTTGAATAAGTCTGACCTTAGAAGAACACTTTACTTTTACCCAGTACTTTGCAAGTACACATGGGCTTTGTAATTCCTTAGAATTCACAACAGCTCAGTTAGGTAGGACTCTCAATGATAGCTAGTTTGTGGCCCTCTCCACCTTCCTCGATTTAGCCAGACCCTGCTGTTCAAGAGACCAGTCCTTTGTAAGGACAGTGGGGTCTCAACTTACAAACTTAATCCGTATTGGAAGGCAGTTTGTAAGTCGAAAAGTTTGTAGGTCGAATCTGCATTTCCCACAGGAATGCATTGAAAACCATTTAATCCGTATCTGTTCTTTTCCGTCCATAGAAACTAATGGGAAGCTGCTATTCCACCTTCTGCCACTAGAGGGGGATATTTTTTTCTTTTTTCCCCTTAGGTCATGAAAAGTTCAGGAAAGGAGTGGGGAGGCAGGGAAACGTTTTAAAAGCACTTTTGAAATCATTTTTTTCAACGAAGCCAATTTTAAAGCATGTTTTAAAGCATGTTGTGCTGTTTTTTTCAGCACAAAGACACACAGGCAGGAGTCTGGAACTCACACCTTGACTCAGGCTTTGCAAGCCAGAATGCCTGACCCACACAATTCTTCTGCAAAAACACAGACATTTCAAACAAAACACATTTTAAGAACATTTTTAAAACCAGCAACTTTTAAACCAAACACATTTTAACAGGAACAAAGCAACTTTTAAACCAACCAACCAACCCATAGGAACTAATGCAAAGCCGGTTAATCCGTTCCTACCACTAGGGGCAGAATTTTTTTCTTTTTAACCTAAAATGACTTAGGTTAAAAAAAAGGAAAGAGGGAGGGAAGGAGGGAACAGACACCTTTTCAACAGAACACCTTGAAAAGCACCTTTTCAGCCAAGACAAGCACCTTCTGGAAAAACCAAGCACCTTTCAGACAACAGATCACCTTGAAAAGCACCTTTTCAATCAAGACAAGCCAATACAAGCACCTTTTGGGGAAAGGGGGGGCAGCAAAGGAGGGAGGGAACACCTTTTAAAAATTCAAAAATCAAAATTTTTTAAAAAGCCAAAAAATAAAAATATAGTCCATAGAGCACTGTGCCAGGCAATACCAGCAATACCAGGCAGTCTGAAGACTGTCTCCAAATCCACTCTCAAAACACTGGGAAGAGCAAGGAAGCAGACAGGCACCCTCTTCACTGGCCAATATTTAACTGAAAGTTCAAATTTCGCACTTTCCCCACCTCCTGTGCGTTTTTTCAGTTTGTAACTCGAATCTAAGTTTGCAAATCGAGTCAATATTTTTCTAACAGAGCAGTTTGTAAGTCGAAATGTTTGTAACTAGGGCCGTTTGTAAGTCGAGGGTTGACTGGATCTTTATAATTATTTTTATTCAAAAAATAGAGTTTCATAGTTTATATTGCTCAAGCTTTAGCATAAAGAACATATTCAAAGATTACTACAGTTAAATAAAATAACTAACCCCCATTAAAATAAAAACCACTACTAAGATGGGCTAAGGTGGGCTAATCTCACCTCCTTACATACTTCACCATTCCATTACATAACACATTTCAGAAAAAATCATCATCTCTCAGTTCTTTCAGAAATCAGTTTGCTTGTAGCTAAGCTCTCTTTCACACACTTCTCCTTCCATCTTTTCTACATTCTCTAACTCCCTTCTTGACACTTCATGGCTGTTAACCAATTAGCCTCAAGGGGCTGTAACCCCTTTCTCCACCCTCAATTCCCATGACGATCCAGCTGTTTTATCTCTTCTCCAATTAGCTCGGAATGTAGAGTCTTTCACGGGCTCCTTGTCCAACCTTGAGCTTATCTCGAATAATGCAGTACCAGTCTTCAGAAAAACACTCTCACACTATTTATTTGTTTATTGCATTTATACCCTGCTCATCTAGTCAATTGACTACTCTGGGCGGCTTCCAACATATATAATAACAATATAAAATATAACAACATTTAGACATCAGTAGTAGAGTTATTCAAGATGGCAAGAGATAAGAAAAATAAAAAATAAAAATAAATCAAATAATAACTGAAGGGAAAGCCTGTCTAAACATCCAAGTTTTCAGTTGGTTTTTAAAGATGCCCAGCGAAGGAGGGAGATTATTCCAGAAGCGAGGAGCTACCGCCAAGAAGGCCCGGTTTCTTGTTTTTTCCTTCTGGACCTCCCTCAGCGTCAGGCTCCTCAGCCTCACCTCCTGACTTGATCTAGTGATACAGGTAGATTTTGGTGGGAGTAGGTGTTCCGCTAAGTATCAAGGCCCTAAACCATTTAGGGCTTTATACATAAGCATTAAAACTTTGAAGTCAATGCGGAATCAAATTAGCAGCCAATGGAAAGCAGCCAGAGTGGGAGAGATATATTTTCTCACTCCACTAAGGAGTCTGGCCACCACATTCTGCACCATTTTGAATTTCCTCAAAGGTAGCCCCACATAGAGCATAGAGTGCATTACAGTGGTCTAATCTCGAGATTACAAGCACATGTACCAAGGTGGTGAGTACCCCAACATCAAGATAGGGATGCAGCTGGGCTATCCATCAAAGATGAAAAAAAGGTGGTACGGACCACTGACTCCACCTCTGTTTCCATGGTGAGCTCCAGGTGCAGATGGATCCCCAAGGTGCGAACCTCACTCTTTGCGGTAAGAGTCACCCCCACCAAATGACAGTTTCCCAGACTGCTGATGGTGGGGAGATGATCGAACCCTGCCGAACCCCACAATTGAGGCTCCATGGGGCCGATACCCTCTCCCCAAGCTGTACTCTCTGAGGACGGTCCCCGAGGAAGGATTGTAGCCAGGCAAACAGCAGGCCACCAATTCCTAACTCGGAGGATACCGTGGCTGACGGTATCAAAGGGCGCCAAGATATTCAGGAGGACCAGCAGAGATGTTTTACCCCTGTCAGCCTCCCTCAGTATGTCAACGACCAGTGCTGTTTCTTTGCCATGGCGCGGCCTAAAGCCCGACTGGAATGGATCCAGGGGATTTGTTTCATCCAAATGACCCTGAAGCTGATCAGCCACCATCCTCTCGACCACCTTGTTGATGAAAGAAACATTGGCGACGGACCTTTAATTGCCAATTTTGTCTGCCGCAAAACTAGGTTTCTTCTTATGTGCCTAATGAGTGTTTCCTTGAGGGCAGGAGGTACCCTGCCCTCATGGAAAGACCTATTAATTATTGCTGTGGCCCATTCAGTTGTTACAGGCCTGGTTGCTTTGATTAGCCAGGCTGGGCAAGGGTCAAGGGATGAGGTGGTGGCCTGACAGCAATCAAGCGCTTTGTCCACAATATTTGGTGTCACAGGCTGAATGAAATCAAAAGTCACCGGGCAAGGTGGAGCGCTGGACATCTCTGCTCGACTCACTGTATCCAAAGAAGGAGAGCGCTCCTGGCGGATGGCCTCCACTTTAGATTTTTAAAATGCTGCAAATTGGTCTGGTGAGATACTAGGGGGAGGCCCATCACTTAGACTAATTCTGGATAGGTTGCGCACTATACGGAAAGCTCCGCCTGATGATTTGAAGCTTCGCTTATCCGTTTAGCGAGATGTACTTGGCTAGCAGCCTTTACCTTGGCCAGGTAAGGGTTAGTCGCGACCCTGACAGCTATCCAATTATAATCTGTCGGGTTCTTTCTCCACTTGCACTATAGCCTTCTCCTAAATTGCTTC